TTTTTTGAAATATTATTTTGAAACTGGCCACCTTACTGAACTTTGAACTTGTTTAATCATTTGCTCATAGGTTTTTCAAATACACCATAATGTTTATAAATAATTTTCCTTTGTCCTTTTTCAGTATGTAAAGTTCTCATTTTTATTTTCTAAATTTATTTACTGATTGAAAATTTCAGAAAAAAATATTAAAGAGTGAAAGTGCATATTTCTTTTGTAAAAATAATTTTCCAATTTGATTGGTAAATAACTATTACTGTCTGATTATTAGAGGTTAAACTTTATGCTTTTATTATCTATTTAGTGTTAATTTTTATCAATTGCCTATTAATTTTTATCTGTTTTTCTGAGGAATATATATCTTTGATTCAAAGCTCTTTTCTGCCTTTTCTCTGATCCTGTAGGTTCCTATCTGAATAGGGCTTTGGAGGCGGGTGGGGGAGAGTCAATTTACATCTTTACTTATGCCCCTGTGTTGTAATCTTTTGTTCATTTGACTTATTGCCCATTCTTTGTATATGGGCATTGTGAAATTGGGGACCCTCTTGATTACTTTCCTTATGTCGATCACTGATCACCTCCCGTTCTTACTTTCCCCCACATTATAACTTCTACCCTCTAATTATAGATATCCTCAAGATTACCTGGACTTTAAAAAATCTCCCTCACTCCATTCATTTTAAGTCTCTTAATTTGAGGCAAAAAACCATATTCATCTTCTTGAGAAGCATTCTTTTCCTAGTAAGAGCCCATCATTTTGACATCTTGAAACCAGGCTTGGAAAATATTTTCTCTAAAAGGCCACATAGTACATAGTTGAGGCTTTGAGGGCCAAATTGTCTCTGTTGTAATTATCCAACTCTGGCCTTGTAGTGCTGAAATAACTTTGGACAATAGTGAGTGAGTCTGTGTTCCAATAAAACTTTATTGATGGATACTGAAATTGGAATTTTGTATCATTTTCATGTGTCACAAAATATTCTTTTTTACTTCCCCCCCACCCCCCAACCATTTAAAAATGTCAAAACCATTCTTAGTTCATGGACTATGCAAAGACAAATGGTGGGCCAGTTTTGACCCATGGGTCCTTGTTTGCTGACCCTGTTACAAGCCATTCTTCATAGAAACGAATCACATTTGTATTCAGTGTCCTTCCATTTACTCCCCCGATTCCCAAATTCTTGAAATTGAGTAAAAAACAGCAATAACCTACCTTTATGTCCAAGGTCCTTTAGCTTTCTGCACAAAACTTGAGGTCTCTGAGTCTTTTTCCTTGGTCTCTTACTCATCCCTGTAGGATCAGCAATTCCTTCTCCATTGTATTCTTTCCTAATTTCTGTGGGTTGCACCTTTGTATTACCTCCTGTTTCTATTACTCTCTTAGCACCCTAGTT